ACATATATCACTGTGGTATGATTCTTTTAATTCTTTGGGGAAGATCCCCAGCAGGGGAATAGCGGGGTCAAATGGGACTTCCAGTCCTAGTCCTTTGAGATATCTCCATAATGATTTCCACAGTGGTTGCACCAGTCTGCACCCCCTGAAACTAACAATTTAAAACTTACAAAAATGTGTGTGTGTGTCCCGCTGGGGATCCTTAGGGGTACTTACATACCCAGTCCCTGAACTGCCTAGGCTAGGCTGGGCTGGAATTATTGATCCTCCTGCCTCAACCTCCAGAGTAGCTGGGATTACAAGTCTGTACCACAGCACCTGGCAAAATTACTTTTGTAACGAAAAATATAAATGAACTATTTAAAAAGTATGTGAAACAATTAAAAAGAGCTACTTTCTATACTTCCGCAGAGAACAAAACCCACATTGATAAAATTATCATGTACACTTTTCAAATTCCTCACATCACTTATTCAATTATGTATGAGGATGCATCAACATTACTCAAATGAGAAACTTTCAAAAATCTAGAGTATATTTTTCCAGAATAATATTTTTAAGCAGCTCAGATCTCATGAGTTAACCTTCCCCGTCACCATTCTTGCCGAACGAGTTTGTAAACAAACCACAGTTGTAAGTTTTACATACATTGGATCCGCCTAGCAAAATCCCTGACTTGGTTCATCTGCCATGATTCCAAGTAAGTTTTAAACAGGGATCCTCGGTTTTTTCAATACTTCCTCCTTACCATCTTTCCCCCACCCCAGGCTTGTTTTTCCCATTCTTTATTTTTGCCCTAAGACACATTTGAGCCATTTACACCGTAAGGTTTATTTTTCCGTTTGCGAGTATTAAGAAACCAGAAATCAAGTCACTACTTTTGTCAGCTCTCGGCGCCCGTTTTCCCTTCTTCCGAGCCGTCCTTTAAGCGGACTCCCTGTTTCGGGGCGTGGGAGAGCGGAGCCCCACTCGGACACAGGAAGGTCTGGTCGCGTAGGCGGCGGGGAGGAAAGTTTGCACACACGTTTCCACGGATCGCTACTTGGTGAGCTTGAGAGGTGAACAGGGATCTACAACGCTCCTCGCTGGGCCGAGAGGGGCCCTCAGCGGGACAGGGAGCAGCCCAAAGCGCGCGGAGAGAGCGGCAGGGCAGGCGGATCCGGAAGGGCGTGGCAGACCGGGTGGGCGGGGTCACCCGGGGCGGAGCCTAGAGCCTGCCTCCGAGGCCGGACCCGCGAGAGGACTGGCCGGCCAGGGCTGAGGACTCGGTTGTAGCGCTGGTGGGAAGCACTGGCTGTCTCCACACGTGGAGAACTTTTAACGTACACGTGAGGGGGGCAAGGCGATGTCTGGAAAGATCAGCCCAGAGCCCCGACGCCCTACTCCAGCCCTCAGGCGACAGTTTGTGTGCTGTTTCCCGGCTCTCTGTCCCCCTCCACTTCTTCCCGGCGTCCCACATCGGCCCGGGGCATAAACTCTGTCAAATCTCCAACAGCTGCGCCGACCCGGGCGTCCGACCGCGAAGCCACTGACACGGGCAGTCTGCGCCTGCGCGGGGTTCCGGCGCCCCTCGGGCGGCGGCGCTGGGCGGGGCCGGGCGGGGAGGGGCGGGGCCGGGCGCGCGCACGGGTCGGCCGACCTTGGCGGCGCGGGCCGTGACGTCACGCCGTGACGCGCCCGCTGTAGGAAAACTGTAAGTCCGTGAGGATCCCGCGGCGCCGGCCGTGCTGCCGCGGTGGCGGATGTGGGGCGCTTGACCCGGGAGGCCAGGGCGCCGCCCGGCGTGGCGCAGAGACAGGTGCCGCCCCGGGTGCGGGGAGGCCGGGCGGGGCCGCACCTTCTCCCGGGCCCGAGAACCTGAGCCCGGGTTCGAGGCCCGGGAGGGCGGGACGTCCAGACGACAGCCTCTCTGTAAAATCTCTTGCTAAAGGGGTTCAGAGTCCCGTTCTTCACCTCTCAGCCCTTCAGAGACCACCCCATGTCTAGCTTCTTGGGGTGACCTGAGATGCCCAAGTCACCGAGGACAAGTTAATAAGCTAAACCATCCGCGGTCTGTTTCCTGTTTTGCCCATTGTGGGGAAGGCAGCCCCTGGCCTCCCTAATTGTTCCTACAAGACTGGGAACTTCATAAGAACACGTGAGATAACAAGCGTGTAAAATGCTGCAGAAAGCCTAGAAGGACATTTGGTGATTTGAGGCATGTCCGTTTATAGGTAGGGATCTTTCTCATAATTTTGCCGTCACCCACACTCCCAACCCCACCCCTTCTGGTCGTGACACACACCTGATGGGTGATCTGTGGTGTTGTCAGGGAAGCTCACGGTCAGAGATCAAGAAACGACATGTCGCTAGCAAGTGATGTTGGCCCTGCAGCGCTCCAGTTGTCTGCGTTTCGGGGAGAAAGCTTTGAGCACGATGCAACTGGCATGTTATGCTCAACACAGACACACTTTTTAGGAGTTGTTGCTTTGTCAACTTAGAATACCTAGTCATTCTATCAGATTCTTGAGTGGTTTGGCAAACTCCCACCAAGGGTTAGTACATAAATAATGAGTTAGTACTACACTGTGATACTTCTCAAACTCTAGGACAAGTACTTGTCAAGAACTTTGAAGGGAGGGATATTGTGCACACCTCAGGGTGTATTTATACAAGAGATTAAGAGATCACATTTCTGTAAACTGAATTCAAGGGCGTAATGTCTTTCGGTCCTAGTGGGAGGAGCCTTAGAAAGCAGGGCTGCGTCGTGTTTTGTACTACATCCTAGTTACAAGCTTTGTGTCCAGAGACAGTTGGCTAAACTTGAAACTTCCTTTTTAAAAAATCTCTAAAATGGGAGATGATGGTATAGCTGCTGTTGCTTTGTCATGGGTCAGATGAGATCACGTGTATGAAAATGAAAGGCTTTCTAAGTATGGCATTGTTTTGAAGAGATTTGCATCATTCTCCACCCTGCAGAAGATGTGTGCATTCAGAAGTCAGATTCTGAGTCAGAGCTAGAAATAGAACAGTGAGGAAGACAGTCTCCACCTAGTAGAGTTCACTCTACAGTGGGGAAATAGGGACAAAAAACAAGCACATAAAATGTAGGGAAATAGCAAAGAAGCAAGTACATAAAATAATTTCAGAAAGGGCTAAGTACAGTGCAATAAAGGAAGCTAAGAGAAGGCCACTGGGAAACAGGAAGATTGTTTTAGATAAGGCCTCCAGGGGAAGGTGATTCAAAGGAGGAGGAGAGCTTGAATAAGGGCCTCTCGGGAGGGATGCTAATGCATCGAACGCTTATGTAGTGCTTACTGCATGTAAGGCAGTGTACTAAACAGTACAGCCTTGTAAAACTCTTATGGGGTAAATAATGCTGGCTCCGTTTTTCTAGAGAAGGAAACAGGCAAGGATTTGCTTATGCTAAAATGTGGTAGAGACAGATGCGAATCCGGACAATGTGACTTGAGTGCCCAGGCTCCAAATGACTGTTCTGCCTGTGAGCACAGGTGGAGGTTCTGAGGCGGAAACAAGGCAAGAGAGGGGGAAAGTGGCGCGCGCACGATGGGAGGGTCTGCTGGTCTGTGGGGACACTTGCAGGCTGTGTCTGAGTAACGGTGTTGTTCTGAGTGCAAGGGGAACACGCGTCAAGGAAATGGCTTGTGGTCTAAGCTTTGTTGTAGGGAGAATTAACTGCAGAGTCACGGAGTGGGAGGTGGCGTGCAAGTGGGGAGAGGGGAGGCTACTGCTGTGCCCTGGGGGAAAGGTGGTTGTGGAGACGACAGTGAGGGGTGGAATCCCTAAGGTACTGACAAGACTTGCTCAGGAGGAGAAGGAGGGAGAGGGAGAAACAACAACTTCTTAGGGTTAAGCCGAAACAGTTTGGGAGAGCAGGGACGACAGGACAGAGAACATAGTTTGGGAGGAAAAGTCTGAATTCAGTTTTGGACAAGTTTTAGATGCGTGTTGGACATAGTGATAATATCAGAAGTGCTGGTAATGATAGTAAGCACAATGTAAATATAAACTGTTCCAGGCAGGGTTTTGTCATGCTTTTGCATATAGTAATTTATCCTAAAATTTTTTATACTAAGAATTATTATTGTCCCAATTTTATATATGAGAAAATGGAGGCCCAGATAGCTGCCTTAAGTTTCCCAGTTTGTGAGTGATGGAGCTGGTATTCATACTCAAGTGGTGTCTGCCTAGGAGTCCTTGTAGTTAATCCTGTAACTGTATCCATGTGGACATGTTGCATGTGCATGAATATGAATATGGAACTCAGGGGAATGGTCAAGGCTGAAGACACACATTTGTATTTCTGAAAAGAAAGCCTGCTTTTGTTCCTCATCTAAGCTTTGGTTGGCATAGAGAGAAAAGGAGGTAGGCAGTGGGGCTGCCCTCACTGGATTTTTATTAGTTGATTAGCTTCCTGCAACCAACGTCCACAGGTTCCATGAAGGTGATGTCGCTGTCTCTTTCATTTCTCTATCTAGTCCCTATCCATTGCCTGCCATGTGGGTAGTTGTTCAGGATGACTTTATATGAAGGGCATTTTTTTTAGGTTTTGGAAATTCAGAGATGAATAAACATAAACCTCTTTCTTGGAGGAGCAGAGAATAAAGAAAATCCTGTGGGAATAAAGTTAGGGTGGACTAAATGCATAAATACATGCTGATTAGTTCATTCTGGTTTTCTATACCTCTCCTCCCCCTTGGCCCATGGTTTGAGAGATGGGGCATGAAAAGGGCAAAGAAGCGAAAAAATGCCTAAGCAATCACAGTACGAATTTGAGTCTCCCTGAGTCCTTGTGAACTAAAGAATTGATAAAAATCTTGCATATTTTACTATATTTACCTTAGTTTTATATGATATTGATATCATTTTTACCAAACGAAATAAATTCTGATATTTGACTATCCTTGTGGAGTGGTGAGTTTTTCTGGTGCTGTTACCTAGTGGTGTTGTCAGGGTTCACAATGAAAAAAGAGAGTTGGCTTGAAATGTTGCAGCTTGGTAATAGAGCCTGATGGAGGGGATGTGTGTAGAGAGTTTAGGCAGGTTTCCACTGGTTTAAGTGTGTGTATCACGCCAAAGTTCCACAGATGGGGGTTAAGTTTGAATTTCTCTGCTGATGAGTTCTTTAGCATTTTGATATACATTTTGCCTTAGAGGATCTGGTAACACGTTGTCATAGTTGGAGTTATAGATTGCGTCTCTTATATCTGAATATTGTAGGACATAGAGACCAGAAGAAAACACCCCCTCAAAGTGTGTCTTGTTTCTGTAGATCAGTTTCAGGGCATACCATAACCACAACACAGTTTGTCACAGGTTATCTTTTGTTTTCTTTTTTTTTTCTGGTACTGGAGATTGAACCCAGGACCTTTGCACTAGGTTACATCCTCAACCCGTTTTTATTTTTGAGACAGGGTTTTGCTCATTTGCACAGGGTGTGGTCAAACTTGTAATGCTTCTGCCTCAGTCTTCTAAAATTATGGGTTTATAGGCGTTCACAAGCAAGCCAAGCTTGTTACAGTTTTATTACTTTGCAACATGTGTATTTCAGATTTGAACCAGTGAAAGATGAAAATCACACTATTGCAGATTTTATGGTTAATTTCAGAGTTTTTTCTTAAATGAATTTGTTTTTCATTGGGAGAGTTGATTGGAATAACCAAGTTCATCACTCTAAACAGGAGCCCTCCATAAATGTAAATGTGGGGGGGGGCTCTCCTGTTGCAGTTCACACAATTTTAAATCTGCTATATTTCTGTAGCACATTTGCAGTTAACTTCTTTAAGAAGGTCAGATATGTCAGATATGTGGTATAAAATAGAATTGACTATTTTTGTTATTGTTATTGTTTTGAGACAGGGTCTTGCTATGTAGCCCAGGCTGGCCTTCATCTCTTGGCAATCCCCCTGCCTCAGCCTCCCAAGTGCTGGGACTCTGGACATGTGCCACCACGGCTGGCAGAACTGACTATTAAATGGCCTACTGATTGCTCAGGTTTTGTGGGTTTTTAAGTTCAGGCTCAGTGAGGGCAAGCTGGTGATTATTTGTGTTAGGTAGCTCCCAGCGAGCAGGAGTGATGATAAGTCCCATTTGAAGACAGCGGAGTCGTTTTTTCTAACACTGAACACATGAAATATAGCATCTTAGATAATGAACACAATTCAGCTTCTCTTTAAAATTTATATTTGCACAAGCAAATTTTAAAGCCTTTAAAACTTATTTTAGGGTACTAATGTAAATATAAGGAAATTATTTCTTGTAGAAAATAATGTGTATAGCTCAGTGATGGAACATACTAGGCATTTGAATATAATTTGTAAGATTCCACTTACAGTTACTTTTATTTATGCATATTACCTTCAGCACATATATATTTGCAGTGATAGCTAAATATTTGTTTACTTTTGCTTAGGACTATTAATGTCTAAGTAGACATTTAAATAATTTATATAAATAGTACTTGATTTTGATTTATATTTAGTTGCTTAGAGATTAAAATATTCAGGCTTGTTTTTCCCATGTAAACACTAAATGGCTACTCGTAAGGCTGAGTGAGACTAAGTCTTAGTGACAAGTTAACCAAGTTGTCACCCCGAAAGGACGCCCCAAAGAAAATTCTTAGAATCAAACAGACTGCCGATGGAAATGGTAGCCATAACCATTCACCGTAGCTACAGTTCTCTAAACTGTTGCCATCCCACAGGCAGCATTCTTTTATTTCACAACATCTAGTTTCATGCTCCAGTCTGAGCCACTAGTCTGTAGCGATAAATGTGACATAAATATTAGAATTTTAATGGGTAGAATGAAATCTGTTGGTCTTTATACTGTGGATACAGACCAGCAGGTCTCAACTCAGATAACTCTGTCCCTTCCAGTGCAGCCTGGGGCCATCTGGCAATGTTCAGAGACATTTTTGGTGGTCACTTCTGTGCTTTGGGGGCGTTGCCAGAAATGTTACCAAACACCCTACAGTGTGCAACACCCTCCCAACAAGAAAAAAGTGATCCACTTCAAAATGGCAGTACTGCTTACTTGAGGAGCCACGTAATCTTTCTGTGTCTTTCATTTCTCTCACTTCCTTTCTTTTCTTCTCCACCTCCCTCTCTTCTTTCCTCTGTTAGATTGCTGTTGCTGTGGCAGAATACCTAGATAAACACCTAAGAGGGAAGATTTCCTTTGGATCACAGTGATTTCAGTGCATGGCCACATGGGCCTCACTTTGAGCTGTGCAGCACAGTACACCGTGGCCTGGAGCGTGGTGAGTGGCAGGGAAGCATGGGGGTGGGGTGTGAGAAAGCAGCTGTGGTACCGGTGTCCCCTTCGAGGGCACCTTCTCAGGTCCTTCCTTCCACTAAGCCCCATTTTCAGAGGTTCCACCACCTCCCAGTAGCAGCTGCCGTTAGCACCTGAGCCTTTGGGGACGTTAAGATCCAAACCATAATACTTGTCCCTTGCCCTCCCTCCCCTTCCCTTCTTTCCGTACTCTGGTGATTGGAGATGGTGGATTTTAAATGGCCAGTGCCTGGCTGGAACAAAAGGTTGTGTTTTTTCTGCTTTTAGTTTGTTGGATAGCTAGCTAATTTGGTTCTTTTGTTGCATGCAAGAGAATTCTTGAACTGATTATAATGGCCTTGAATCTATTTGATTGCCAATGTACCTGATGTTTTGTGTTTGCTTTTAACTATGAAATTTTTTCTTAGCAAAATTAATTTACTTTGGATGTTATACAATCCCAGGTTGTAACAGATTTGCTAGTATGAATTTCCTTCCTTTTTATATATACTTAATTAGCTATCACAGTTACATAATTATCTTTCAAAAGTCCTTTTTACGTTAGTTTTTATATGTTACTGTCACAAACACTCCATAAGATGTGTAGGGCACATATTATCTCCATTATTTGACACATGCAGAAACAGACTTAGGTCAAATGATTTTCTGTATATGTTAGGCAAAGGTAGTGATACACAAATCTAGGACTTGGAGGTTTGTCTTTTTGCCTTTTAAAGTTACCAGTTGTTATTATCCTTCTTGCAAGTCTTATGGAATGAAGTATTTGTTATATAGATAAGAAAGCTGATTGAAAAGATATAAACCTATTCAAGGTCACTCAACTCTCCTTTCCTCCTGTGGTACTGGGGATTGAAGCCAGGGCTTTTGCTGAGCTACATACATAGATCTTTTTTACAGTTTTCAATTTTGAGACATGGTCTCCTTAATTTGCTAAATTGCGGAGGCTGGGCTTGAATTTGAGACCCTCCTGCCTCAGCCTCTCAGAGTGCTGGGATTCTAGGTGTGTGCCACTGTGCCCAGCCCAGAATGTAGTTTTGACTGTTTCTGTTGGACTAAGCTGCCTCTCCAGGTATTCTTTTCCAGTAAATAAATTTGACAGTTTCTGGATAAATTCACTAAATATATACTACACTTGAGTGAAAAAATCTCTTGGCACATACTGTAGTGCTCTTCTTGCTACTTGAATCAATGGTGAATTCAGTGTTTGCAATCCTCGGATTTTTGTTTTGTTTTGTTTTTTGTATTTTGAGACAAGGTCTAGCTCTGTATAGTTCGGGTTGGCCTTGAACTGACTATGTAGCCCAAGGTGGCCTGGAACTCACGATAATCCTCCTGGCTCAGGTTTCCCAGCACTGGGATCACAGGTGTGCGCCACCACACCCTGCCCTACTCAGATTTGAGGAGTAGAAATCCATTAGTTTGGTAAAACATAAGGTAGTAAGACAACTATTTAGAACTTACTTTTGAGAACATTGAACTCCAAATGGAGTTCAAAGATAGCGCTCAACTGTATGAATGTATTTGAGTGAAGCAGCCTATGTGATAGGATTCATGTTGCCAGTTGATACAGAGGGATTTATATGGTATTTGGACTTTGAGAATATGAATTCAAAATATAAAATGAGATAAATAAGGTAGTCATCTTCTATGTTAAGCACACTGACAAAGTGATATTAGTCAGTTTTTATTTTCCTTCTAAAACAAAGTTCATTATAGTCTCAATAAGTACATCATTTTTGTGAAGTGATGGGAATTTGTGACTGTCAGTTTATTTCCTAGAAGGGTTTATCAGTTTACATAAATAAATCAAAAATAGCATTTGAATTTAGATTTTCAGATTTTATAAGACCAGCCTAGACTGTCATTTTCATTAGATCAAAAAGAGTATCTACTTAAGTATTTGCGCAGTTGTTTTGTTTGAAGAGTATTTGATTTTATTCAACTGTTGGAATAAGTTTTAGTGGATGGGTGTTATAATGGTTCATATACAGTCATGTCCACTGGATGTGTTTGGACCATTGGTAGTGTGAAATTATGGGTCTTGTGGAGGGGTAGACCAACCTTTGTTAGTCCAGTTGTATATTGGGCAAGAAAGATAATGGTTATACTTAAAAGATGGAGATTCACAACTTGCCATGTAACTTATGTTATTATAACAAATATTTTTCTGACCTCCATGAATAAAAAGTTAATATGCATATAGCCATAGTATTTACTATATTATTGAGTGAAAAGATCGCCACTTAAGTATAGCTGAAATAAAGCTTGCAGACTTGCTCAGCAAGGGAGAGCTCTGCTTGGAGAGCAGTTTTCCAAACAGGCAGAAATGTTCTATATAGGGTTTTGAAGAAGCTTGGAATTTTAAGACTTGCTGATTTTCAAAAGTGAGACAATTTAAGGATTGGCCAGCTTTAGATATGGAGTTAAGAGACTGGCTGCCTCTGAGGAGATAACTGAAGCCCGGCAGCTGCTGACTAGCTGAATATGTAAGTAGAAATGTTGAGTAGAATTTAAAGATTGATTGATTGGGACAGATTTAAAGCTGGTTTTGTGGTTACCTGTTCCCAGCGTGGGGCAAGAGCAGAAAAATCCTTTCCTTCCTCTAATTGAAGACTAGGTACTCTTTATTCTCCACATATATCAAACATGTTACTGTTAGTTATTGTGCTAATATAGTTCTGATTTTGCATTTTTTCTGAAAGTTTAAAAGAAATGAGTATAACAAATATTGTTTTCTGTTTATGAATGTCCAGATTATTTCATTGAAACTCAAAGTGCCTTAAGGATTATTCCTATATATAGTTAAAAGGTATTATGTTCCATGTAGAAGTTCTTTCATTCTTTAAAAATTATGGTGAAGGTTATATTAACTAATACCTATTTTTCTCTCTTGTGGGAGTATGTTGTGTCATGTACCTGCCAAAGTTAGTCTTCAGGACACGAAATCTAAGAGTTTGTTGTTTTTGCTGTTTTAAGAGCTAGAGCTAGAAGCAATTACTTTTAGAAAATTATCTAGCAATTATTCTTAACATTTTAGAAGATTTAAGATTATATTCTGTGCCTTTTGTATGACAAGATAGGCTGCAGCATTTTAGTATCTGAATCATTTTACCTCATATCAAAGCACTATTTATATAAATTATTTCAGTTTAATATTTGGAGTATTTCACTGCAGAGTGAAATAAAGAGCTGCTATCTGTAACTAGTGGAACTTTTATTCCAAATTGATCTCTCATGTAATATTTTAGTTTAAATTTTTTCCTAGTGTAAATATTATGAAAGAGCTATTGTTTTCCTACTAGATGATATTTGTGTATTTTACCCTTAACGTTTAAACTTCATAAATGTGTAGTTAGTCAGTATTTAGTTTCCTAGGAAAGCAGTATCTTTGATGCCTGGATGTGAGTACTGGGATTGTCTCTGAAATGCGTCTCTTCTGTCCACACAGGCAATGAGTAGTTGGGCCTTTATTGCCTAGTGATGTGATTTAAAAATGTACTGGGTTAGGTGATCTGTTTTTATAAACTGGCAAAAACAAGGGCTTTTCCATAAAAGTTTATCTTCTAGTCTTTGCTAATATAACAGATAAGATGTTATTTGGATTCCTTTGTTACTGAAGCTGAGCTTCTTGTTCTGGACTTGTTAGACATATGGATCTCACCTACATTTGCCCAATTTAGCAAATAAAAATCTAGAACGCTTTGTTAAATTTGAATTCCAAGTAAACAAGAAGTAGTGTTTTAGTATAAGCATGCACCATGCAGTTTTGGGACATGTTTGTACCAGAGTAGAAGTCATGTCTAATTGAAATTCAAATGTAGTGGGTTATCCTGAGTTTTACCTGCCAGCTCTAATTTCATTTTCTGGGAACTGTTTCTGTTCTTACTAAAAGTTCACTTGTATTTTTTTTTGTTTTATTTTAACAAGTTTTTTTTTCTTCTTCTTCTAACAGTTACTAGATATTAATCCCATGGCTTTTTTTAGTGGTTGCAAGCATGTGCTTCTAGTTCTTTGTCCATCCTCTAACTTTGTAGTGTCCTCTGTTGAAAAATAAGTCCTAAATTTTTTTTTGCATTAAGTTTATTGGTACATTTTAGGTATAAAATACAGTTACATTCATCATTGGGATCTTGTTCCTTTACATGATGTATCTTGGTTCTTATTTTTTTCACCTTCCCCTGCCCTCCCTTCACCCCCCCCACCCTTCCCTATTTGCAGACTTTGTTTCCATTTTTTTCCTTTTCTCATATTTTTTCTTTTCCCTCCTTTCCTTTCTCCTACTGCTCCCACTTCCCCTGCTCCTTTAGACCTTTTCTTCCTATTACACAATTATCAATTATACATTGTTTTAATTACAGTGTCAAAATTTAGAGGACATTACCACAGATTTTACAGAATTTAAAAGGATATAAAAAGCATATTACAATAATCTTTTTTGAAATAAATTTGACAACTTCTAAGAAGTACCTTGGAAGACAAATTAATGAAACTGACTCTGGAGGAAATATAAAATTTGAATAGCACCTATTAAAGAAAGTATATTCCTAGCTTGAAAATCTACCTATATGACAACAACAGGCTCAT